CGGTGTGTGGGTGGGGGGGGGGGTGGCGCACTTGCGCCCGGGCTTCCGCCGACGCCGCTCATCTCCCCCACGCCGTTTCTCCCCCTCTTTCCCCTTCCCTCCGAAAACGCCGCAGAGATGTATAATGTTGGCACACGGCTCAAAGGAGCACTGTGATGTGGAGACTTGCGCCGGCGGTGGGTGGACTTTCGCGGACGCCGCCGCCGCCTGCGCGGCCATCCTCTCCTGCTGCCGCGTGCGCTGCTTGTGCCTGCTGCCTTCCTCACTCTTTGCCCCTCGCCGCCGCCCGGCGTCTGTAGTTTTTCACCACCTTCTTGGGTCTGGCAGGGAATGCGGCGCTGGACCAAATTATGGCGGTCGCTTGCGGCTGCGCAGCGATCCCCGTTTTTGCAGCAGCGGCGGATGACGTCGGGGGTGCCAACGGAGCAGGAGGTGCGAAACGCGTACGCGGCACTGGGGGTCGCCGCCTCGTCCCCCTTCCAGGACGTGAAGAAGCGCTACGTGGAGCTCGCAAAGCAGCACCACCCGGATGTAAACGGCGGCAATGAAAACAACGCGTCCACGCGCATGGTGAACATAAACGACGCCTACGCCACGCTTCGTCGCTTTCACAGGGCGGGGGGTGCCACGCCGCGGGGCGGCTCCCAGGCGTCCTCCAGCGGCAGCGGTCAGTCGTACTACACCACGCAGGATGAGCCGTACCAGCCCTGGCACGAGGACCTTAACCCGCTCATTTACGAGATGATGTGGGATGAGATGCGCCGTCAGGCCAATAGTGAGACTTTCGCACACGCCGCTGCTGCAGGGGGTGGCCAGGATAGCAGGCGGCGACAGACCCAACAGCATCATCATCAGCATCGCCAGCAAGGCGGGGGTGAGGCGTCAAGGGGAGGGCAAAAGAGGGCGCAAGGAGACAACAACCGTCGGCACCCTAAGGCTGGCAATCCCCGCAAGACGACGACTTGGCCTGATGCTGACCTGCAAGCGATGGTGAACATGTACCAGGATGGAAAGAGCTTTGAGTTTATCGCGAATGCCCTAGGCAAGCAGACAGCCGAAGTTGTCTCCGAGTTTAACCGCTGGAGCGACGACAAAAAGCGATCGTTGCGTCCACCGCAACGGCGACCAAGAGGATACTATTACGCAGAGTCCCCTGACATTGACTTCACAGAATTTGATGAGTTTAACGACCCCTTCGGTTACGGCATTGGGGACGACTCCGATAACATGGACCTGGAAGACGTCTTCTTTGACGGCGAGGCCATGCCCTTCTCTGGCGGGCACTATATGAGTGGACACCGTCCACGGAGCAGCGGCGGTGGCGGTGGCCGCGGTGGCCGCGGACGTCATGGGCCGAGCCATCGTCAACGGTGACGGCACGTGCACCCCCCCCCACCCACACACACATTCTGTCGGAGAGGGAGATGGTCTTTTTTGGAAGAGACGGGGACGGCTGCTTCCCCCCCCCCTCGTTTCATCCGTTTTGTCTTTCCCTTTTATTTCGTTATGCGGTTGTGTTATTTTAAATGTGTGTGTGTGTGTGTTCCTCTTTTTTTTGTTGTTGTTTTTACGTTTCATCGTCGTTCCCCCCTCCTCCGCCTCCCGTCCAGCCCCCTTCCCCTTTGGCTCTGCAGATTGACAGGAAGGGGAGCAAGGCGGATGTTGAGGCGCACGCCCTCGCGCCTCGCGAAGGAGTTGGTGTACTTTGAGATCTGGGAGCACTTTAAACGCTTTGGAGATGCGAAGGGCGCCGACAGCGTGACCTGCCGAGTCCTTTGCGCCGATGACGTCGCGGAGCGGCTCAACGGGCGGGTGAAGATGCGGTACTTGTTGGAGCAGTTCCTCGTGAAGAACACCTCTGCGGGAGGCGCGCGTGGTGAGCAGCAGAGCTGGTGGACGGGGGACTTCGCTCGCAGCAAAAATAGTGACCGCCGCGTCCTGGCGGAGATGTTCCTGGACGACGGCTGGGCGTTGACGCAACTCAACAACTGCGTCTCCGAGCGCGAGTGGCTCATCACCACCATGACGTTTCTGCGGGAGCGGAGTGACGCGTGACGACGAGGAGGAGGAGGAAGGACGGCACCGGAGGGAGGCCAGGGCGAATCTGCGCTGCCTGATGCTCACTGAACTTTGCTGCAGTCTGCCGCTGTCTTGCTTTGCCCCATTTTTTTTTTTGTCATCTGACCCCTTCTTCTTCTTTTTTTTTTGTTGGGGGGGGGTTCCGTCTTCGCCTCGTTTCCCCCACACACACACCGATCGCCAGAGCCTTCACAGCAAAAGATGGCGCCGGGGCTGGTGTTGCTCGGGGGCATCGCCGGGGCCGTGAGGTCGCTGCCGTCGTTCGTCGTCGCCAGCGCCAGCGCCGCGTGGGACCCGACAAATGGCGCCGCCGTCGCCGCCGTTGGGGAGATTACCGCGACGGCGGCGCTGGAACACATGAAGCGGGCGATGATGGCGGAGCGCACCGGCCGCATGATCCTCAAGACCCAGCCCTGCATCACGGACGACGTGCTGGAGCTCGCCAGCCGCCAGCCGCCAGGGACCTTCGGGCACCGCTACGCGCTCTACATGAACCACAACCACTTCCTTCCCAGCGGGCGTACCCCCGTCACCCGCATCGAGGACCCGACGCTTGCGTACATTATGCGGCGCTACCGCGAGACACACGACTTTCTGCACGTCTGCGCCGGCTGCGGCCGCACTGTGGAGGAGGAGCTGGCCATTAAGCTGCTGGAGTGGCGCCACACGGGACTTCCGCTTGGCCTCCTTGCGGTGCTTGGGGGCATGCCGTCGCTTAGAAGGCAACAGATAAAAAACATGGCTCTTTACCGCGAATGGGCGGAGCTCAATGCGCCCAATCAGCTTCACGGACAACGAAACATTCCCTGCATGCTTAATGTCTGGTGGGAGTCATACATTGACAGGCCCTTTGAGGAAGTTTTATCGGAGGTCGGTATTACGCCGATGGAGGTTTTTCTCCGGGAGCGGCAGGATAAAACTCTCTCGGCGTAGGACGATGGATTCCAGCAAAAAAAAAACCGAATTTGATGTCGCGTGCAACTTTTGTTTGAGCGCAAGTGTGTCTGTCCGTGATTGTTTGTTTCCCCCCCGTGGCAGCACAGAGCGCCCAACGTTGATTGCCGCATGCGGGCCCCTTTCTCGTTTATCTTGTCACCGTTGATTTGAGTGTAGGTGCGTCTGCCTGTCTGTCTGTGTGTGTGTGCGTGTATTCGCTTTTTTTTTGTGTGTCTTGCCTCCCTTTTCTTCGTCTTGTTTTGCGCTTTCCTCTCTTTGCCGTGCAGACTTCCTTCCGCTGCTGCCTTTGCTGGTGGTAGAAGGTGCTCCTTCCTTTCCCGTTTGCGTTGCCCTCTTCTTTCCTCGCACCCGCAGAGCCCGCTTTCGCCAACCCGCACGACGTCACGCAAATGTCCTCGGACAGGCTAAAGGCCTTGCGCGAACTCTCGTCCCTCCTGAAGGATAAGCAGGAGGTGCCGCAGGGGTTGTGGGGCGCGGCTGGCGTGAAGGTTGGCGCGCGGCTGAAGGACGTGGAGAAGGAGATTGTCGCCATGAAGAAGAACGTGTCGAAGGACATCAAGACGAAGATTGAGGAGACGCAGCAGGTGATGCTCGAGGAGGAGGCGAAGCGCCAGGGCGTCACCGTGGAAGAGCTGGTTGGGAAGAAGCAGGAGGAGCGCGAGTTCAACATGCAGCTAAAGAAGACACGGCAGCGCGCCCGCGAGGAGGATCGCGTCAAGAAGGAGACGCAGCGGCAGACGGACTTGGGCGAGCACGACATGGCCGTCGACTACGTGTAGGTCGCCGCCCCCCTCCCCGCCTTCCTCCCGCTGTGGAGTTTAGCCAACTCGTTAATGTTTGTGTCTAATGGGCCGTGCTTTCCCTCCGCGGTGAGCGCGGCTGCTGTTTTTGAGGCTTCTGTGGTGTCACGACAAAAGTGGAGGCGGGTGGTAGCGGAACCACGACCCCTCACCGCGAGAAGGCGGCAGGCCCGCGGACGCAGTCGCCCCCTCTCACCCGCTCTGCTGGAGGCCGCACGTGCCCCTGCGCCCCTGCTTGCGTGCACCGGGGCGTTTGTCGACGGTCGGCGGTGGCGGGGGGAGTTACGGCTGCGCCCCCTCCAGCACAGGCGAGGCGTGGGCGCAAAACAAACGCCGGAGTCACCGCCGGCGTGGTCGCCGCTTGACACTGAGCGTTGGGGAGGAGGGTCAGTCGGAGAGACAAATGACGGGGCGGAAACTTAGCAAAGGGGAAGGAAATGAAGCAAAAAAAAAAGAGAATAAAAATTAAGACTGTTAAACTGAAGGATATCAGCATGGAACAACCAGGCAGAACAGCAATGGTCTTTGTTCCTTTTGCAATTGTACCACCTTTGCCTGGCCGCGTTGCCAGCAGCTCTCCCAGTGGCCCTCACCCCTTCCGTCCCACATTATCTCCTGCCCCAACCGCGTTTCCACTCCACCTCGCGGCCATTATTATTACTATTATTCTTGTTGTTGTCCTCCTCCTTCTTGGCTTTGCCTTTCGTGAAGGAAGTCGTCGTCCGTTGTTGGCCCTTGCTTGCGTAGTGCCGCGCCGGGTAGGCATGCGCTGCTCGCCGCCTGTGCGTTCAATTGCCGCGTGGTCGGGCGGGCTGACGATGCGCAGCGACGCCGTGGCGCAGGTGCTGCAGCGAAGAGAGGGGAGGGACGGGAAGTCGACGCCGGTGCGGTGCCTCGTGGCGACGCGTGTCATTTGCAGAGGGGAAAGGCTCTGCGTCGTGCCGGAGACGCACATTCTGCACGGCGCGAGTGCCACCCAGCTGTTGCAGCGGGCGGCGGCGGAGCAGTGGCTCCCCAGTTACGCCGCGGTGCAGCGCTGCCTGGCGACGGTTGTGGGGGAGCCGTCTATTATGTCGACGCGCGACGCACTGCTGCTCCTCCTCGCCGTGCATGTGCTGCGGCGGGGTCGCCTGCGGCACCCACTCACGGCGTGGGCGGCGTGCCTGCCGCCGCGGGTGCCGCCGATGGGGGCATTACTGCAGCAAAGTTCAGCAGCGTCGCGCGGGGGCGGCGGCCTTCGAACCGCTGCAGCGACGCCTTCGCATCGGCGAGCAGACGGTGGCTTTGCGCCCTGGCGACGAGGACGCAGCAGGCGCTGCCACTGAATTGATGCTGCAGGCCGCTGAGCACTACGGCCTCGAGCACGTTGGAAGGCCGCAGACTGAAGTGACGCCGTCGCAGGCGTTAATGTCCTCCTTTTACCGCGGCACTCGTCACCCGCTGACGCAGCGGCAACACGACGCACACGCCGCCCAGCACCGCCACGTCACACCGGCGGAAACACGGCAGCTGCTGCAGCTGGAGGAGGAGCTCCACGGCAGCGTCCTCAAACCACTCCTCGCGTGTGTGTCGCCTCAGCCCCGTGCGTGCCGCCCTGACGGTGGTGGTGGTTCTGCAGACGCCGCCCCCCTTGAGGACGGCGATGTCGAGGCAACAATGGCAGTGACGGAGCAGTTGCGGTGGGCACACTTCGTGGTGCGTTCCCGCGCGGTAAATTTGCACCCGCAGCGTCACTACCAGCCTCAGCTTGCGCTGGTGCCGTTCCTCGACATGCTCAACCACTCCGTGCGGGACGCCAATGTCACGTACCAGCACCGTCCCGGCGTGGGCGTCGTCGCCGTCGCGTCACGGCCCATCAAGGCCTCGGAGGAGCTGACGCTCAACTACGGCGACTACAGGCAGCGGGGCTGCCTCTTTTCCCAGCATCAGCCGTGCAGCTCGGGCGGGGAGAGCACGCGGGCGGTCATGCACCGCATCGAATCACGTCAACTGAGGGAGTGGGATGATGCCTCGAGTGACGATGCCACCGACGACCCTGTGGTGGACGCCCCATATGGCCACGGCCTGCAGCAGCAGCAGCAGCAGCAGCAGCGTCACACGTTCGACGAGGGCAGTAGCGAGGAGGCGCGGACGGAGGCGACGTGGCTGTGGCGCTTCGGCTTCCCGCGCAGCGATGAGGAGAAGGCGTACGTCGCGTCACGGCTGTGGAGCAAGGGCCTGCGGCGACGCATCGCCCAGCTGACGGACGTGCGCCGGAAGGGGCGGCCTGGTGAGTTTGTCATTGGGGTGCCAGAGGGGCTGCGGCACCTGCGTGAGCAGCGCGAGAGGCTGGAGCGGGAGCGATTTGGCGGCGCCACAGTGTTTCCCCCGCAGAACGTGTAACCACCGCGAGCGATGCAGAAGAGCGAGCCGTGTAGGCGGCCTCACACCCACCTGCCCTCTTTTTTTGTTTTATGTGTGTGTGTGTGTGTGTGGTGTCGCCCCTCTCTCCCTCTCACCCCCCTTTTTTTTTTAAGTTCTTTTCCTGTGGATGCCGCGACTATTGAATTGCGAGAGAAGCAAACGAACAAATAACTTTTCTTCCTCTTTCTCTCTCTGTGGGCGAGGGTCTTTGTTTTGTGCCTGCACGTGTCGTGTTGTTGCCCCCCGGTGGCTGTTCAGGGGGCAAGCAGGGGAACCACAAAAGAAGAGGCGAGGGCGGCGGGCGTCACCCACGCATTCGGCCGGCGAAGCAGATGGACTACTGGACGCGCTCCACCAACAGGAACTCGTTAGAGAGCATCGGCGTTTCGTACGACGAGCGCGACGCCGGCGCCGGCGAGCGGGCGAGGCGCGTGCAGGTGACGGCCCCCGAGAGGGCCTCGTCGCCCAACCAAGACCGCGACTGGACCAGCTTCACGGACGACGCAACGACGACGGACACCACCGGCTTTACAAGCTCGTCGCGGCAGCCGGCCGGCCTCACCGTGCACCAGCGCGGGGGGTCTTCGCTTGGCTTCACGTTCAGTGGAATACCCGCCGATGTGGTTTGCTTTCGTTCCTGCATCTCGTACCACTCGCATCGCCCCGGCAGAAAGGTGGTGGTGCCGGAGCAAAGCGGCCCGTTTGACGCGGATGTGTTGTGCATCATTTTACTGTACATCGCGGTGGGTATGCGGGAAATCCTGCAGGTGAGTCACACGTGTCGCTATTGGCGATTTTACGCAAACTACGCACCGCACTGGACGTACTACCGTCGTCTTGACTGGAGCAAGCGCATCAAGGACCTGCCGAGCTACATCCGCAAGGTGGTCGTGAAGCCGAAGATCGTCACGCAGGAAGAGTACTTTCGCGAGCGCAGCAAAGTGCAGGCAGCGCAGCGGCGCGACGAGATCATGGGCACGGCACGCCACGTGCGTTGGTGCATCGCCGTTGCCGTTCTTAGCGCCACCGCGTGTGCGGCAAACTTTGTTGTGGCGTACTTTTTAGGCTTCCTCCCGACGGTGCTGCGCAGTGACGCGACGCTTGGCATCGTGGTGTTTGCCCTGATGGTCACGATGGTCGTGCTGGAGGTGACGGTCGTGATTATCCCCCTCGGCGGGGCCAGGTCGCCGTCGGAGAAGCAGAACATGATGCGGCTCCTCTCCTGGGGACTTTTTCTGCTCCTCACCGCCTGCATCTTTGGCACCACCTCCGCGCTCGCGATGGCGCGGGTGCGGAGCAGCGGGCACATCATTGACGGCACCGTGCTCGACTTCAGCATGGCCGCCGAGTGCGGCGTCATTGACGTGCACAGTGACCCCTCCTTCGTGCTGCTTCCATCGCAGATCACAGACGTGCGCTGGCGCCCAATCACGATGGACGACAGCGAAAGGGCCTTCCGCCCCTACTGCATCTCGCACGCGAATGCGACCATGTGCTATGTCTTTCTATACTTTGATGCGTTTTACAAATCGAGGGTGTTTAACAACGCCAGCGCCGTGGCGACACGAGACATCGGCACGCGCACGGCGTTGGGCTTTGACCCTATTGACAACGGTACGGGTGGGTGGTGTGCCGCGGTGGGCCGGCCGCAGGTCGTGGCGCTCACGGAGTCTGTCTACCACCGTGTCCGGGAGAAGTCAAATCGGCTCTTCCCGGCTGAGGTGTACACCACCCCCGCCCTTCGCCCTCAGACGACGGGGAGCATGAGCTACCTGTGCAGCATGGACCACGCACGGGTGACGACGGAAGACACGCCGGGTTCAACGCAAATGTGGTACAAGCATGGGCAACCGTGGCGGAGGCACTACATCCCTCTCTCAACCGACATCACTGAGTCGCGAGAAACGTTCAGGGAGCACCACGATCATTTTCTACGCTACGCCTACGGCTGTTACCTTGTCGCTTCTCTTTTTTGGCTTGTCATGGTTACCACGCAGTGCTTAACGCGGGAGCAGGCGGTTGTGGTGTTGGGGGCGACAACCACCGTCACCCTTGCGCTGATGAACCCCATCGTCATGATCGTTGCAGGTGCCCTTTGCGTAAATATGCCGGAGCGCTATTTCATGTGTAGTGAGTCCTCGGGTGGATCCTTGGCCGGTGGCGGTGTGTTTATTAGTGCCTTTCTTGTCGCGATTTATGTCTGTTTTTTCTGAACTGCAGAAGGAGCAGATGGGCGGAGGCGTGGGAGGGGGTTTCGGGTATGTTTGTAGTGTGCGCTTTATTATCTCCCCGTTTACTTTGCGCGTGGTGTTCACCCCCCTCGGATGGCGTTCGAGGCGCCGAGCGAGGCGGCGGTGGGGGCCGCCTCTCACTGCGTTTATGTGTGTATGTGTATGTGTGTGTGTGTGTTTGTGTGTGCTTGTTTTTTTGCCTTTCCTTTCTTCTTCAGCAGGACGTCGCCAGATGTTGGTGTCCCACTATAATGCTGGAGGATTCTGGCGCCACCTTAGCTCAACGCAGCTACAAGCTGCCGCGCACGCATGTGTATGTCTCGGTCTGTCTGTGCGGTTGCACCGCGCCGTGGAGCCGTATGAAATACATCCATCCATTTCCCTTCCAACTATCACTTTTGCCTCTTTTGCCTTGTCTATTTTTTCTCCCCCTTCTTCTTGGTGTGTGTGCGTGTGTGTGTGTGCGTGTGCGTGCTGGTCCATATGTGGTGGAAGCCCGATGTTCGCGAGGGATGAAGTGAATGCCCTCTTTAACGACGCCTCGAGGGCCCTGCAGCGCTCTCAGCTCCTACTGGAGGAGCGGGCACGCGGGGCACCGCCGGAACGGCTGTCCGTGATGCCGAATTCGCCGAATTTCGAGGCGGCCCTGCGTGCCCTGCGGGGGCTTATGGAGTTCACGGCCTTTCTTGACGCCTCCGAAAAGGTCGGCGAGCGGTTGCAGGAGGAGTCCAGGCAGCCGTCGCCCGCGATGGAGAAGAAGCGCCGCAACGGCAGCGTCTGCCCACTCCTGCAGCGCGTTGTGGACGGAATCGCAGGCGTGCAGGGCATGTGGGCCGGTGATGGCAGGGCCGCGGAGGGCTTATGGGCTGAAGGTGCTGTGCTCGCCTCGCAGTTGGTGCTCGCCGGGCTTTTTGCAGACTGGCGGCACGCTGCGTCCAGGGCGGCGCAGCAGCGCCTTGCGATGCTGCAGCAGATGATTGAATTGGACGAGGTGCCGCAGCTGGAGGAGTGCAGGAAGGATGACCTCCTGCAGCTGCTGGGCAGGGCCAAGGCGGGCATGCCCGACGAGGTGGCGGACGAGTTGGATGCCCAAGTCATGCGTGTTGCGTGCAACCTCACAGGCGAGTGGGACGTGCCGAGCACGCCCGCACAACTGGCCTCGTTGCTGCTGTTTCCAACACTAATCTCCTTCGTTGTCCAGGGCGCCTCCACGTCACTAGCCGTGGAGTACATTCTCGCTCCACTAGAGCGTGCTGCGGCAGGTCTGTTGCCGATGTATCTCTCGGAGAGCCCCGACGAGTTTATGCAGGCAGCTAGGCACCTTGTGCAGCACGTTGTGCTTGTGGGCATGTACGCCGCTGCTGGCCTACGGCTCGCCCCCACAGGTGGTGTGCAGCGTGTGGTGACCTTCACAAAGAGGCTCTTTGACGCGCTGCTCATGCCAGTCGAGGGCGCCTTCACCGCCGCACTGCCTCGTGCCGGTATGACGGTCGATGTGCACCAAGGGCTTGCCGGGCCGCTGTGCTGCTGGGCGCGCGCGTGGGCGAGGCGGGTGGAAAGTAAAACGGACGTGGATGCTACAGCGACGACGGCACCGTACCTCTCCTCTTCCTCCTCCTCAGCGGCGACGGCGGCGGCGGCGGGCGTAAAGAAATTGCTACCCGTGTGGTGCACTGCAAGTTACCGCGCTCTTGTGGTGGTGGAGGCGCTCGCGCATGCGGAGCTTGGCGTCGTCAGCGGCCGCGGCAACGCAGCGTCGCAGCAGAAGAAGTATTACTCCATGCTCCAGCAGTCGAACGGGCGCGTCACCACCGCCATCCTCTCCGCCGTCACGGAGGACAGGCAGCTGCTATTCGAGGAGACGACGACGCGGTCGGCGCAGGGGCACAAGGTGTACCGCATTCATGAAGGGGGCACCGGACCGACCGTCTACGTGTACCTCGACAACGGCATCGTCTACATGAAGGTTGGGCGTGAGCGCCTCTTCCGCCGCGCCAAGAGCGTGGAGGACGTCTTCAGCGTCCTCGGCGACGCCTCTTCTCAGCCCTAGTGCCCCGAGGCACGCCCATCACACTATACACGTGCCCCTAGCTCTCCTTTGTTCACCCACCTACTCTCTATCTCCTCTTCCTCCTCCTTCTTCCTTCACTACTTGTGCGAGTTGACGCAGACCTGTGCCCAGACGCACCGATTTTCTATTTAGTTGCTTGCTTTTCTTTTCCCTTCTGCATCTCTGAGGGCTGAGTAGAGAGAGAGGAAGAAAGCGGGCGGGCGACAGGGGAGACTGTGTGTGTGAGAGCGAGTCCCTGTGCGCGGAAGACCGGTTTCCCTGATGCGATGCGGGCTGCGCTGCGGGTGATGAAGCAGGCCGGGGAGGAGGGGGAGGAGGTGGAGACGCAGTCCTTTCCGTTGACGCTCCATTCAGCGGTCGTTGAGGAGCCATTCGTGCAGGCCCTCATTCTGGAGAACGAGGCGATGCTCCTGGAAATCACCCTCCTGCGGCGATCCTGCCGGGGTCACGCGGAGGCGTGTCGCCAACGGGCGCAGGCCGCGGAAACGGCGGCGCGGCAGCTGCTGGCCGCGTCGGAGGCGGAAGCACGCCTCGAGCTGTGCGTGGCGTGGCAGGCGCGTCTCTTGGGCGGGCTGCGCGCCACGCTGGAGGAGGCGGAGGGGCTGCGGAAGGAAAACGCCGCCCTGCAGCAGGTCATGGTGAACGTGCAGAGGAAGCTCGGGGCGCCGGAAGCGCACTCGCCTCCCGTCGTGTCGGAGGGAGACGTAACACCGGCGCGTGTCATTACAGCCGTCGATTGTGGAAGCAAACTGCACGCAAAGTATAACGTTCCGCTTATCAATAGAGCCGATTCCAACTCACCACGGGTGCCGTTTTGCCGCTCACGGAAGCGTGGGCGCGACAGTGGCGATGGTTGGCTTTCCTCCCCGGCGGAGACGACCCCGGCGGAGCGGGGCGTAGGCCAGCAACGCACATAACGTGGCGGAGTTCTTTAGACTTGCGATGTTCACCTGCAAAAGATGGTGCGCCTGTGGTGCATTTTCTCTGCATGCCTGAAAGGGCTTAACACGAGAGGGCGCGGGCTTGTCGTGCTGTCTCTCCTTCCTTGCCCATCCGCACATGTAGATGCAGATACATCTACCCAAATCTACATGTAGTCATACACGCCACTTGTGATCGCCCCTGCGCATTTGCACGACTCTCATTTGCCCTCTCCTCTTCAAGTCTCTGCACACGCTTGCAAAAGAAATAAAGTGGAAAAATTTAAGTTTACGCCGGGGGGAGGGACGACGCAAGAAATACAAAGAAAGATATGCGGGGGTGGATTTTTTCTTCAGTCGCTTCCTTGACAGGAACAAAGCCTGGGCGGTCGCCGGGGCGCCGACGGAGAAGGGGCTGCTTGCTGTGGATGGCACTCGCCATCATCTTATACTTCGCGTTCGTGCTGCTGCTGCTGATGCGAGAAACAGTTCCTGCGAAGACGCAGCCGGCACTCGTTGATCAGCGCGCGTTGGTTTTCACCACTGGGGCCATGGAGGAAAAGACGGGCCAACAACTTCTTGCGCAGCAGAGTGTCTTTCTGCATCCCGCGAATGGGGGCCAGCTGCGCCGGGTGGTAGCTTGGGTGTATCAGAACCCCGCGGCTGGCGGCTTATACACCGTCAGCGGGTTCCTGACACGCCTGTACAACGCGACCTCTGTGGAGAGGAGTGGTGGCCGCATGGCGCCGCAGGAGTTACTTGCGTACTACAATCAAAGCGGTACGTACAGCGAGGCGCGGGTGCGCTTCCTTGACGGCATCGTTGACTTGGACCAGCGGGCCCTGCGGCAGGCCGTGCACGGCAACGCTGTGGATGAGATGCTGCTGCTCGTGTTTAATGACTGGGACCACAATGCCGACAAGTACATTGCCGTGCTGCATGGCTTGTCGACGCTCCTGCAGACCACGGAGGGCAGCTCTGCACCCGACCTCCCGGACTCCTTGCACGCTGCTCTGAAAGAGAATAATATCAGCATGTCGCAATTCGCGTCGCCTCGTCCTGAGGCCTTTGCAGACGCATTACGGTTGGGTGAAACACACTGGCAGCAGGCGGGTCAGTCGAGCCGCCTGTTTTTTAGTTGGCCCCAAAAAAAGTCGACAGGAAAGCCGGTACAAATCATTGCCGCCATCCGGAGGGCGGACTTCGATGCTGACGACTTCCTTGGCGCCGAAACGCTGTCGCTGGTGCTTCAGTCGCCCGGCGTCTTCTTCTGTTCAAAGGGCATGTCATATATTGTCGACTACGCCGGCCCCCCAGACGTGAGAGAGCTGGCGAAGTTTGTCGCCGCCAACACCATCTCGCATCTGCAGCTGAAATCGGCGGCGGAGCTGCGCTCGGTGCTTCAGCAGTTCGATGCACTGGCGCTCATCGTGAGCAGGGAGGCGGGCGGCACTGCGCCGGCCTCTGACTCGCCGCTGCGGGAAATTCTCTTCAACGACACGCTGGACACCCGCTTCCGGCTCAGGGCCGCACTGCCAACTTTTTTCCTGCAGGAGGAGCAGCTGGCCGGCCCCGACGACGTCAGGTGGGACGAGCTGAGGGTCGTCGCCTCGCAGCGACTGGAGCCGAAGAGTGTGCAGTTCATGGCATCACTCCAAAAGGATAGTCTGCCGCCTGACTTCGTCGAGCGGCTCCACCTGTTGCCCGCCTCGGCCGACGCGCGGCTCATTGTGCTTGACAGGGCGCAGCTGACCGCCGAGGGGGGGCGGGGGGCGCGGCTCGCTGACTTCTCCGCCAGCGTTCTCTACTTCCCCGCGCCCAGCGGCAGGACGGACCACCGCATGTGGAGCAGCACCTTCGGGGCGCGACTCGTCGACTTTGTGGAGGACGCAGCGGACCGCCTGACATCGCCTGCACCGGTCACCGGAAAGAGCATGCAGAGTGTGTACGAGCAACACTTCCGCGTCTCCCTGCGGGAGCGGGCGGCGGGCGTGCGGGAGCGCCCCTTCGCCGCCGACGGCGCGCCTGGCGGTTCGGCGCCGCCGCGTCCGAAGGGGTATGAACCGCGTCTGTTGGCGGTGGTGGTCCTGCCCCCGGCCGACGCCAGGGGAGACAACGCCTGTGAGAGGGCCGTCTTTCACGCGGCCCACGCCAGCCCTCAAAGCGAAGGCATTCGCTTTGCAACCGCTGCCGCCGATGTGTCCTCGGACCTCGTGGAGGAGCTGCGCTTCGCGGTGTGGCGCCGCTCCGAGGGCAAGGCGGCAAGCGTCTGCGAGGTCTACGTCTTCCACCCGGACGGCAAGGTAGATGCGCTGGGCGTGGATCCGCAGGAGCTGCACTCGCCCAAGGATGGCTGGTTAAGGCTCCTCCTCCGCGGCACTCGGGAGCAGCACTGGGGCGTCCTCGCCGTCTCCCACCCTTTACAGGACGAGTACCTCCTCGCACTGATGGAGCTTCACAAACACATGCATGCCGTGAAGTCTCCTGGCCCGCAGTCCGAATTCCGCACCTCGTTGTACGGCACCGCCGACGGCTTTGCTCCGTGGTTCTTGTGGCTGCCTCCGCTCGAGACGGTCCCAATTCTCGTTCACGTGCAGAAGAATAGCGTGGCGGAGGAGGTGAGCTCGCCACCGCTGGAGGACGCCACGGGCGGGGTATCGGAGGTCACGCTTTTGCTGCTGCATGATAGTTCGTGCGGAATGACCGTGAATCACTTGAAGGCGTTTCGGCTGCTCGCCACGTGCTACGAATCGGCAACGCCGCCCGTGTCACTTGCGCTGGTGGAGTACGACCTCTCTTCCGGCTTCGTCATGCCGGAGCTTGGCGCCTGGCGAGCCCGCTCAATCGGCAAGAATACTGAGCAGACGCAGCATGCGGGGGTCTACTCGCGTCTCAAGCCGCTTCTGCGGGACCCCAAGCGCCTGCAGCCCCCACAACTCTTTGCATTAAACCGGACGCACGTCATAAGTACGATTAGCACCTCCCGCTACTACAGTTCCTCCCGCTACTACAGCTCCTCCAGTGATAGCGGACGGCTGGAGGCGCACAACGGCTACGTGCGAACTCTTCTTCGCCTCGCGAGTCACGCGGACCCCCTGCTGGTCCCCGACACCCTCTCTAGGTGTATGCGGCAGTCACTGCTGCTGGAGGCGCAACGCCGAAGCCAATACCGCCCTCGCACGCAGCATATGCCCTGAGGATGATACATATATGTATATGTATATATCACTCTCCTCCCTCACTCACCCACTCTCTCTCTCTCTCTCTGAGGGTGTATGTGGGTGCGTGTGGGGAAGCAGGTAGAGGGGGGAAAAGTATATATTTGGCGAAAGGATTGGAACGAGAAAGTTAATAAATAAATATAAATATATATACTGCTTAGGCAGGATAAAAAGGAAGATGTTTTTTTTATAGATGTTATTCTTCCCTCTTCAGTGTTACTATTGTGCCTGTTAAACAGAAGGTTGCGCGCTGGCGCTGAAACTCATCTGGGCTTTTCTTGGAGTTTCGGAATGTTTCTTCCCCAAATTTATTTGACAGCCGGCAATCTTTGCGCGATGCACGTAATGCACTCCAGCGAATGAAGTCCTCATATGCCTGGCTTCTGTGTTGTGTGCACTTCAATGCGTGTTTGCGTTTTTTTGTGAGCCACCCTGCACAACGAAACGTATATTAGCAAGTCAAGGTGCATGGCTCTCCGTTTTTTATTAGCTTGCGTGTGGTCCTGCTGTTGTTTTCCTTTGTTTTTTTTTGCTTTTTTGCACACCTTACACACAGCATTGGGGCCCCAGTTTAGGCAGGGCGGTGGTGCAGTTAGAGAACTGCAGGGATACACAACGTTTTTTTTTCTTCGTTACCCTTTGACGCTGTTGATGTTCTCATCGCTTGTGCATGTGAAGCAGGACGAGTGGGGGGCGGCCGCCGCGCACAGTGGGCCCCGTGCTTCTTCACCTTCGCTCTCTCTCTCTCTCTCTGCGCCCGCGGCCAGTCGGGGGAAGGGGGTGCGGGATGGAGTGAAGGGAAAGCGACGGCGGTGGGCAAACGTAATCGTAAACGGCACCGGCGCTGTGTGCCCCTTTCTGGTAATGACGTTGCCTTTCTCCTCCTTTTTCTTTTTTTATATTTTCTCTGCCTACACCGGCCACAGGGGCGAGACACAGGAATGGGGACAAAGACATCGGAGGCGGGTGAGGCGAAGTGGGAGGTGAACGCCCCACCGGACTCGCCGTTCATCACGGACCCCGCCTTGGCGGAGGGCCTCGCCATCCCGATGGAGTACGTGCGGCGCATGGAGGAGGCGCAGCGCCTGTACGCGGTGCACGACGCCGAGCAGCAGGCAGTGGCCTACGCCTACAGGCGGGCCGCGTGGACGGTGGGGGTTCAGTGCGGCTGGCTCGGCATTGGTGTCTGGCTGACGGTGCGGGGGTACAGATACGCCGACCCCGTCCAGTCATTTGTGAGCGGATTCACGTCCAACCGCGTCCTGTGCCGCGCCTTCACCCCAGTTGCGATGCTGGGGCTGACGATCACAACATTGACAGCCTTGCAGATGCCGTTTGACGTGCGCGTGACACTTGCGGCGAGAAATGCGCTGGGACTGGAGGATATGCGGAAGGTGGAGGCTCTGAAGGAGCGTGCGACGGCGTTTCGCGAGGGCAAGGCAATAGTAGACCGGCTGAAGGAGGAAGAGCGCCGAGCGTTTGAGGTCGGCATGGAAGCGGCACAGCAGCCGCCAAAATGACCGGTGCTGTTTGACTGCTTTTTTTTGTTTTGTTTAGTTTTGTGTGTGTGTGTGTGTGTGTTCTCTCCACCATTCCATTGTTTTTGGACCTTGCCCTGAGTAGAAGGAGGTGGCGTAGGAGAAAGATGGCGATAGTACTAGTTGTGTGGCGTGCGTTGCCCCTGTTTTCGGTCTGCTGCTGAAGGCGGCAGGCAGACACACACACACACGCACGCGCGCGCGCAACAGCTGCCCTTTTGTTTTGTTCCCCCTGTTTTTGGGCTTGTTCTCTTTGTGTTTTACTTCCTTCTTTCTTCTCAGCTCCTCCTGTGGTATTGCCCGGCCTTGCATAAGCCGTTGCTTGCGGGCATATCCCGTTTTTTTTTATTGCCGGAGACCTTTTTGCTCCTCCGGGGGGAAGCGGCGTTGGCGAGAAGCGGCGGTGAAAGGGGAAAACAGCGGGCGTGTGCAGCCCGCACCGCAGGGGACGAGAGATGCTGCGCGCCTTCCTCATGGGGGTCGTGGTGCCTCTTCTTTGGCTCCTCCTGCTCGCCGGCGCTGCGGACGGGCGCAGGCTGCCGCCGGAGCCGGCGGCTCCTCAGAGCGATTTCAATGGCGGGGGCCACGCCGCCGCAACGTTTCTCCGCTGGGCGCAATCCGTGAGTTATTTTGTGGAGACGCTTTTTGGGCTCTGTGGGGACGCAGGCCGTGCTCGACAAGCTGACCCACCGCTTGCGCGCTGAGAAGGAGGGCGTCGTGGCGAGGGAGATTCGGGCCCCGCGCAGCGCGATGATTCAGCAGGTGCCAGAGGTCGAATTCTTCGACGCACACCCCGTGGCAATGCACTACGTGCCGCCCCCAAAAAGAAAGCTGGCGCCCCGCACCTGCTGGTCCGGCTACCTGGCGGTGCCCTTCAACACCACCTTCTCATGTGGGGGCGCGCTAACAACGGCGGTGGCGTACAACGCGATGACGGACTCACAACGGGAGAACTGCATCTACAACCGTGCGGTGGAGGAGGTTTGCCTCTGCCCAGTCGGCACAGTTTGGGTGAAAAGGCGTCTCGGAGAAGACTGGGTGTGCCTTCCACGTCTACTGCTCGTCTCAACTCGTTTGGAGGAGAAGTTTATGTGCCGGGACCCCGACGGCGAGGCGCTTGGCCTCCGCAGCAGCCGCAACCCGAGTGACTTCTGCCTCCACGTCCAGCGGGACGCGACGCTTTCCCTTGACCTTAATGTGAGCTTCCGGTGGATGGAGAACGACGAGCTAGCAAGCTTCCAGGCTTCGGCTGGCAACTTGCTTCTCTTTGGGAACCTACAGTACGATGAGATCTACATCACGGTGCGGCGAGGCGTGTTTGGCTTCCCCGACTCACTGGCGCGGTCTGCCAGACTGTTTGAATTTGTTGTTAAGCCCGATCCGCTAAACATGCATGCCTTTGGCGTCGTCGAGGGCCACCCGCTGCAGCGGGACGGCTACTTTGAGCACGTCGTGTACCCGTTTAGTGATATGGCGCTGCTGCACGACGCGCAGGTGCTTCAGAGGTTGTCGGGAGGCGGTGCCATAAACACATTCTTCAGTGGGGAGCGCAACTTCACCCTGCAGCACATTGAGAGAAATTTGAGTCTGCTGAGTAGTGCTTACGTCACCAGCAACATGATGTACATGGAGATTGGCTTTTGCGGCTCCGCCCTCCCCTTCGGAGGCCGCCACGCGCGTCTCTGGATGACGTTCGAGCAGCTCCCGCCCGTGGAGGAGACGTACAAGTACGACCAGCCGCTAAGCTCGCCGGTCATCGCCGGCATCGTTTTCGCCTGCGGGGTGGTTGTGGGCGGCCTGTTGGCGGTGGGGTGGCACTGCTGCCATCAGCGGGAGGACGTCGACGATCGGCTGGTGCTCAACACCCAATCGGAGGAGGACCAACGAATCAAGAAGACGCAGTGAACGTCACCACCACCACCACCATCACCCCGCATTTTTCTTTTCTCCTGCTTCCGCCCGCCTCAAATGCAGCGCCGCATCTTCGCCGTTGTTGTTGTTTTTTTTTCTTCGTTTTTTTTCTTTTCTTTTATTGCTTCTGATCCTGCGTGCAGTCGACACGGAGTATATATATATACATAGAGAGAGAGCTAGGCAAGCCACCGCCGCATTGCTGTGCCCCTCGTCAAACGTGCATGTGAGGGAAAGACAGAGAGAGAGAGGATGCGGCTGAAACCGTGAGGCGGCAGATGTGGCGGCATGTACCCGCCTCTACCCATAATATATATATATATATATACCTCACTGCTACTACCCACCCCGGCGTGCTCGTCTGCGTGGCTGAGTTGCAGCTTCCCTAATTTGTCCTTGGGTGCCTCACCTGTGTGCATGTGTGTGTGTGTGTGTGTGTGTGTGCCTCGCTCTCTCTCTCTCTCTCTGTGTCGCGTCTGCTGCCTCGTTGCCGGCGTGCATCCGATGCGCCTTCTTCTTCCTCCTCCGCTCCCTTGCCTGCCGCTCGGCTGCCCTGCGCGTGGCACGAGAAGATCGCAGCACGCAGAAGGCACGTGAAAAAGCAGCGAAGAGGGCGAAGAAAGGCAACAACAACAACAACAACAACAAAAGCAACAAAGAGGTATAAGTCACTTAAAGGATAAGCAACAGCAACAGGGGAAAAGAAGGGGTGTGACGTAAAACCCGACAACCTCTTCGGCGGCTTTCTATTCTATTCTCTTGTTATCTTCTGGCGTTCGGCCGACGTAAGAGAGCGTCTGAGTTGTATCCCACGCGACACCGCGACAGGCAAAGGAAAGCAAGCGGCAGCAAGAAGTTACGGCAATGGCGGACTGCATGGATAGCTGCGCCCTTGTACCCCCGCAGTACCCGCGACGGGGTCTGCAGGAGGCGGAAAACCATCGCTCCGTGGCCGCACTGTACGAACTCGTCGAGAACGCCATCGCCACCGCGGAGAACTACGTGGCGTACACGCAAGGACGCCTGGTCGCGCTCTCCGCCCGTGGCTCCGACCTCCTCGCGGCCTCGGCAGAGATGAAGGAGCGCTACAAGCACGAGGCCCCATGCGGCTGGACAGAGGAGAAGCTCATGCAGCACTGCCAACAGGAGGTGACCGTGGAGGAGCTGGCCGACATCATCTCGCGCCCGCCGCTCGATGTTGCGGGGGTTCGAAGCGTTTTGCTCACCCTGCAGGAGGCCAAGGCGGAGCTCCCACGTGGTCGCTTCCTGCTGATGCGGGAGAACCTCTCCGCGCTGAAGCCGCACCAGCCTCCCGACATGACGCGTGACCTTGCCGATATATGCGGGGCACTGTACGAGGTCCAGCACGTTGACCTCATGGCGGAGCTGCGCGAGGAGCTGTCGGAGCTCGACAAGGGACGGCAAAAGACGCAGGAAAAGCTTGACGAGGCCATCAGTGTTTATGAGCGCGCCCTGGCCAAGGGTGACGTGGTGGAGGTGGAGCGCGCCCACCGGCAGTTGATTGCCGCACGCTACGAGGTGGTGGACGCGTGTGCGAAGCTGATGCAGCAGATTATTGGGGGTGACATGTCCGCCCAGGAGAACAGCTTCGCTGCCGAACTCGACGCCCTGCAGCGCGACGCAGAGGAGGGAATTGGACGCTTTAAGGATGCCCTTCAAGAACGACGCCAGGCCCTCCGCGACGACCTTCGCAACTGTGATCAGAAGCGGATGGAGGAGGACGGCAACCACCAGAGATGCACGGAGGCCTACAACGCGACGGAGAAGGAGCTGGACGCGCAACTTGGACAAATCGTGCAACAGAAGCAAAAATTGGTGGAGGAGCTGCGTCAAAAGGCGCGGGAGTTGCAGGAACTTATGGTGAAGCAGAAGGAGATGGCCGAGGCTCAGGTGCGGGCCAAGCGGGCGGAGGAGGAGCGCCTGACTGCGTACAATGAGTTTGTTAACATGGAGGAGCAGCAGAAACATCGCCTGCTTCGTTGCCTCGACTACTTTGACCGCATCGACCCAGTCATCCCGGAGCTGCAGTCGTACGTGGAAGACATGGTCGCCCGCATGCCGCGGCAGAGCCTACGCGAGACGCTCAACAAACTCAACGACACCGAGGCCGAGGTCTTTATGGCCGCGTACGGGGCGTTCGTCTCGTGCTGCGGTGAGCTGACGGTGAAGAAGATGCACCGCCTCGACACCCTGGAGCGGCAGGCCCGCCTCGTGGAGCACAACCGCAACTCCGCAATGGAGAGCCTCGACCCAAACATGAGCAACTACCGCGTGGAGCTGGAGAACCTCATCGAGCAGATGAAGGGGGTTTCCGGCGTGATCAACGCCCTCAATGCGACGCAGGACGCCGGAGAGCAGCTGTTTCAAAGCGTTGAGGAGGGTGTGCTGGCGAAGTACGAGCGCGCCGGGACCCCCTTCGTGCACCCACTGCAGGAGTACGGCATCAAGTCGGTGGAGGAGCGCGGCCGCTTCGTCAACCGCTCCATGCGCTACGTCGAGGACGAGGAGCGGAAGGTGCTGGAGAAGAAGAATGTGCTGAACCGCATGCGGCAGGCCGTCGAGGAAGACGAGGCGGCCACCGAATCCGCGCTGCGCAACGCGCCCGCCGCACCGGAGTACTGAGCAGGGGCAGTGTGAGCGCACGTCTGGAGCACGTTTCGAAACGCCGAGAACGTGAGTCGCTGGGAGGGAGCATTTGTTTCCGAGTCCGTAGGCTAAAATGTCCCACTCCCGCATTATACGCGTGTGTGCGTGCGGGAGAGAGAGAGCGCGCGCGAGCTTCTTGGAGTGGGGCGTGGGTGATGTGTGCCCGCAGGCAAAGCAGCCAAATGAGCAATCAAAAAGCTGCGGGATGTATGTAAACTACAACGTCGCACCAAGAAGTTTTTCCGTGGAAATTGTAGGTGGGCTCCACTGAAATGTAGCAGAGAAGGGGGGAGGGAGGGAAGAAAAGGGGAGATGCCGGAGTGCGGGCGAGCGTCGTGGAATGGAGGAGGGAGAATGGAAGGCAGGCGCGGTGCGTCTCTTTCAGTGACAGATTTTTGTTTTTGTTTCTCTCCTGTCTTCCTCTGTGTGTGTCCTCAGTTGCCTTTATTGGGGGCCGGTTGCAGCGAGGACGCGCGGCCGCACACTGACGCACGCAATGGCCTCTCAGCCTATCCACAACTTTTCCTTCCACCCACCCACCCACCCTACCTTTTTTTTTTCTTTCGCTGTTGTTCTCACTGCCATGTCATATTATTTCCTTTTTTTCTAAACCCGTTTTTTTTTTAACTTTCTCTCTTTCTTTCCTTTTTTTTTGTCGTTGATTTATTTACGCGCGATTACTGTCGCTTTTATTGTGTGCGTGTGTGTTTGTTTGTCTGTGCCCACAGCAGTGGCGGCTCTTCAAGTGGTGCGCGCGACTACAACGACCTTCGCCACATGATACGTGTTTGATGTATTACAAGAGCAAAGGAATTTCTCCCCCTGTGCGTGCGTGCGTGTGCGTGTCGGTGCGGCGGCTGCGGCTGTTGCTGTTTTTTTTTTTTGCTTGCCTGCTTCTGCTCACGTGTGTCATGCCACGCATGCCGTCCTCCCTCCCCCTTTCCTCGTTTCCTCGCACGCAAACATGCGCAACAACGATGCATGTGCGTGCGTGAACCGCTGCGCAGGGCTTTTTAACTAAAAGAAAGAAAAAAACGGTGCGGCGCGCGCGGGGGGGCAGTGCGGCGCGGCATGAAGTACCTCCTGCTGCTCGGGCGGCTGCCCGGCGAGGGTCTCTGGGCCACGGCGGAGAGCTACAGCGGGCTTGTGGCGGAGGTTACAGAGGCGTTCGGAGACGACTACAACCCAATCTTCAAGTACCAGCTTCCATGCAACCCAAAAACGATCGGCCTCCCGAATGGCACGTGCCACATCATCATTGACGACGAGGACGATTTTCAAATATGGAAGAATGGCTGCGTCCCCGTGGCGCACCATCGCGATCCGCTGGACGACATTTACCACCCGCCCACGCCACTCACCACAAAGTTGTATTTGTTTAGAAAAGATGTAAATGCCTTCTCGGCGTCCGCAGTGAGGGGGTCCGGCGGAACGAGCCGCCAGGTGGCAGTGGGGAGTCATCTTGAGCGACCTAGCCCTGAAGTACTGCACGCGGAGCACGATGCGGTGAAGGTGCCGCTCTACTCATTGCTTTCGCCACTCCTTCTAGTGAAGCTCGGCGTGCGTGTGGCACTTCGTCACAGCAACGCGGCAGAAGCCATTTTGCTCAGTAGACGCTCCGTGGCTGGGGCGGGCGAGGGCCACTGGGGGTGGATGGTGCGCAAGGCCCAGTCTGCGTGGGGCGTGCTTCGCCCCTCCTTCCGCTACTTGGACCTTGACCACGGCGTCACGGCAATAAACATATTTAACGTGCGGGACTACACGTTTTGGAGCCGCAGCGTGGGCCGCGAGAGGGTGGAGCTGGTTGTGCTGGAACACGTGTATCGCGACGCGGCCCACGCCTCCTGCCCCTCAAGCCTGCTGGCGGCGGGGGGCGCTCCCCGCACAATCGCCGCCCCTCGGGAGGACGGCGGTCGCAAGGACGGGCGTGGCTACACCGTGGCCGTGGAGGCGACCGTCCGCGGGGTACATTGCGGGTTGTACGGCCCCCCGTTCACCACCGATGCACGGATTCCGCTTAAGCCTTCCGCCTCCGGCGCCGAGGCGGAGGCAGAGAGTTCACTAGAGCATCACCAAAACCTCGTTGCCGCCCTCGTTCGTAGTGGGATTTTCTGAGCTCACTTGGGTGACCTCGTTTGTCATGGGGTTTTCTACAGAAACCCTTGGATGCATGTATATACGCCTGCTCGCATGCGAAATATGTATGGAACACTTAGATTCAGACCAGCTGAACCTGTTTTTTTTTGTTTTTGTTGTCGTTGCCATTTTGTTTTTCTCTTTTTATCTTTTTTTTATCTTCCCCCCACCCCTTGTTAAGGGAGCTACCCCCGTTCTTGGGCGTATGTGCGTGTGTTTTGTCTGTTTTGGAGTTCGTTTGTCGAACCCACAGCCGTGCTGTGTGGTGTTGTCTCCCAGCTGGTGGGTTGGCAGGGGCGTACACATGGCCTTCTCCTCCCCCTCCTTCTTCTCTGCTGCGATGCCTCAAGGAGACAGAGAAAAAAGTGTAGAGCGAAGCATGCGGTTCAAGGCACTGTCAACAGTGTGAGTGTAGGGCGCCTAATGCGTTTCGGCTGCAGGGGCGCCTGGACGTGCGTTGGATGCCTTCAGCTGTGTGCGGTGATGGGACTGCGTTGATTTTGGCGGTCCTCGCTCCTACTGGGTTCTTTCCAAAAAAGCACACCGTCCACGCGCGGCCCGCTACGATGCCTGTGCCTGCGGTGAATTGCTGCTTCAATGACGACTGCCTCCTGCACCGCAGCTTCCTCCATTTTCTCTCCTCTCCTTGCAAAAGGGTCTCAGGGGCGGCGGGACCACTAGGGGGTCGGGGTGTAGTGGAGGACACTTTTTTGTTTCCCTCTTGGGAGCTGCTGCCCCGGGATATATATATATATATATACTCTGGGTTGCCGCAATGGAGCAAGCTGGGCAGCGGCGGTTGCCAACTGACCCCAAAGCCACTTGCTTTGCGCTGAAGGTGGCGGGGTGGCTGCTGCCCGACGTTCGCCGGCACCTCTTCCTCCTGCTCTGGATCTGCGGCGTACCCATACACGTGCGGTATGTGGCGCACCTGCTTCGTATCTCCGCCGTCCCGCTGGAGATGGCGATGACGCTGACGGAGGGAGACCCAGCCAACCCCGCGGCGACGGAGGCGCATGCGTCGCCTGTTCCGCCGGATGAATCGTTACTGCGGAAGGTGGCGCTGGACGTTTTGTTTACGCAGGTGGCGGCTGACTGCCGCGCGGCAAACGCGCAGGTGCGGCGGGCGTCTCTCTCCAGCGCGGCGTGGTCGGAGGTGCGAAGTTTGTCGTACCGCGTGGACGGGGCTGGTGTCACGCGGGTTGTCGCGCAGGACGCAACTGCAAAGGGCGAGGTGTTGGCGCTGCTGCCGGCGGCCGCCGCCGCCTCGTTGGGAGAGCTGGAGGCGACGTACTTCACAGCCATTGATCAGGCCCGGCTGTTCCGGGAGCAGTACGCCGCTCCCCCGGCTCGCAGTCGCGCAGACTGGGAGGGAGCCAGCAGGACGCACCCCGCGAGGGGGCAGCCTGGCGGCCGTCACGACACCCAACTCGAGGCAGGTGTCGCTGCGGATGTTATTCTTGTTGACAGCGGAGACGACGCCCACTCGCTGCAGCAGCCTGCCATTGTGATACTTTCCGACGACGACGGTGGTCGCAGCCGCAGTTGTTCTTCTCATCCTCCCGCAAAGCGGCGACGGAAGTCCTCTTCGGAGGCCGTCTACGAAGTGGTGGAGTGATGCGTTTGCTTCCCCACTGTGTGCACGTTTTTGATGCGGTTTTGCATGCCCGTTTTTTTTTGTGTGTGTGTGTTTTGGCAATGTTTGGCTTATCCTTGCCCGACACACTTTTTTGTTTTTTCTCTCTCTGCGTGCTCTTCCAGCAAAAGGCCTCTTGCGGGTGTTACTGGGAGTGGGGGTGCCTCTCCGTAGCTTCCCCTGCTTTACGCCCAAATGTCACTGCGAGACCTGTTCGGTGCGCTGGGAGAAATGCCGATTACCAGCGGTCTCCGCTCCGCCGTGGAACGCCTGCTGGGACCGCTGGAGGGCGGAGAGGAGGTTGCCGGCGCTTCCACCACCACCGCGCAGCAGCGCGCTGCTGCGCGGGAGTTCGCCAAGAACACGGTGTTCCTCAACCTCTACGACATCACGGAGGTGAACGATGTGCTGTACCACGCCGGGCTCGGCGTCCACCACACCGGAGTGGAGGTGTACGGCATGGAGTTTGCCTTTGGCCGGTGCCCAGAGGGCACGGGGGTGTTTCAGGTGACCCCCAAGCTCACGCCCCCGCACATCTTCCGCGAGCAGCTCGTTCTTGGCGAGACGCGGCTCACGCGGGAGCAGGTGCTTGCCCTGGCGAAGGAGTTTAAGGAGAACGGCCGCCAGTGGTCCGGCCGCGCGTACCACCTGGTGAGGAACAACTGCAACCACTTCTCCGAGGCGTTCGCTGGTCGACTGTTGCCCCCCGAGGTGCGAGCAGCGCAGCAGGCGCAACGCGGGCTGGAGGTGTACGACGATGGCCGACGGGAGGAAGTCACGCTGCCGAGTGGGCAGACGGTGCCCCTGCCGCCGCTGATGCCGCGCTGGATCAACCGCCTGGCGCGCAATGCGGATCGCTTTTTGCCGTCGGAGGTCGTTGAACGGATGGATGCGATGGATCGCACGGGGCAGGGGGTGAGCCCCGACGTGTGATGCCGCGCCCTCCCAATTTGCATTTCTACACGCAACCCAGCCAGCCACGAGCAACAACAAGGAATGGGACGTGTGTGTGTGTGCGTGTGCGTGCGTGTGTGTTTGTGTGTGTGTGTGTGTGTGTGTGTGGAGGCTGCGCGGGAGGGCTCCGTGGAGAAGTTGCGCTCGTGCGCATGCGTGCCTGCGCACCGCGTCGCCGCGGCGGGGTGGAGTTTGTCTCGCTGCGTCTTCTCTTCCTTTTTCGGTTTCTGTCTAGTGTACCGCCGCAGGGGTGGGGAGAGAGCGAGGGGAGGATGCCGGCGAAGAAGGGCAAAGCAAAGGACTCCGTGGAGGACAACACGCCGCCGGGAATTTTAAGGGCGTGCGTCGAGTACTGCGACTCCGCCAACACACCCGTGTGGCATCGAATGGGCCACCTCTCCTACGTGCACCCCAGGAGTGGGCTGCTGTACGTTGTGGGCGGCTGCGACGCGAAGGCGCTGCCGCAGGCGATAAAGGCCTCGCCGTACGAGACGAAACTGGACTCAATGCCCTTCGCGGAATGGTGGGACGCAGGCACGCGCGTGTGGGGCGGCGGCGGCGGCGGCGGCGGCGGCAGCAGCGCGAGTTCGCGGCCGCAAACCCCGCAAGTAGTGGCGGTGCCGAGATCGCCCATCCTCGTACAGAAGCGGCAGAACGATGCGGAGAAGGGGGAGGAGGGAGAGGAGCGCAGGAACTCCACGAGTGTGATTGTGGGTGCGGCGGCCTGCGCGTCTGCCGTCCCGCTCTACCCCTTGCAGGTGCCGGACGGGTTCTCGTGGCCTACACTGGCGGCAACAGTGGTGCACTGGGAGCCGACACGAAAGGAGGATCGTGTCGTCGCCGCAACAACCGGCCCAATTGATAGTATACTAACGCCAAGTGAGGCCGTGAAGGCAGTTGGTGAAGCCGCGTCCGACGCGGACGGTACGGACGGAGCGGCGCTATCTGACGCTCCCGAGGTACGCGAGCACCCTGTGATTCTATTTGTGGGTGGCTGGAAGGGAAACTGCCGCAGTATTCACACTGTGGGCGTGGACATGGATAGGGGGACGCCCCTGCAGATTCGTGGGGGAATGCCCGCGGTTTCCCTGCCCTCGACGTGTTTGACTGGTAGCGCGGTGAACGATTGCGTGTATGTCTTCGGTGGCAACACCGGCGGTGCCACGGGCGCCTCGTCCATCATGCGAACGCTCGACCTCACCAGCCGCAAGTGGGGCGAGCGGACGGGGGAGGAGGCACCCAACAGCCTCCCGCTGCCCCGCTCCTCCCACGTTGCCGGAGTGCTACTGAACCGCTACATCGTGATTCACGGGGGACGGCGACTGGCTTCGGCCCCAGCAGGGACCCCCGCAAAGGGCAGGAAGTCTATCCAAAAGGCGCCGCAGCCAATCGAGAAATTGGGTCTAGACTTTTGCAATGATGTCGCCGTGTACGATCTGGAAAAGAAACGCTGGGCGGCAACAGCCCTACCTGTGGGTTCGCTGGGCCCACCGCCGAGGTACGGGCATGCGGCCTGCGTGTTAAGTCCCACGGAGCTCCTTCTTCACGGCGGTATTGGCGTGGATGGGAGCGTCTTGTCCGACGCCTGGATCCTGCGTCTGCTGGAAAGGAATGAGGCCAATGTATATATTGCCTGGGTGAAGCTGGCGCCCCCGGAGGCGGACGCGGTACCGTTTCCAAGCCGCTGCCACCACTCCCTGGCGGCCGCCGGCAGGCGCGTTTTCATCACCGGCGGGGTCTGCCAAAAGGAAAAGGTGGAGGATATCTGCATTATGGACGTTGAGCCGCTCAAACAAATGGTCCCCCTGCGGGCGGAGGGGCGTAGGCGCACCGCGACTCCAAACGACGCCCGACGCACACCTGCGTAGGTGAGTGTGTGCGCTTGCACGTGTGTGTCTGTGTGTTTGGGGCGGGTTCTCGCAGATGTCTATAATATATCCGCATTCATCCTCGCTGGACGCGGGGTGCATGGGTGCACCCTGCGAGTCTCACGGCACCAGTTTTGCTTGCGTGGCACCCTAAATGTAAAGTCACGACGCGCTACGGCCCGGGGCCCACGGCCTGTGGCTCTGCGGCCAGGAAGGAAGCACCAACTGGGCGCACAACACGGTCGTGCCGCTTGTCTGTTCTTTACCTTTTGGCCCATCTGTTGCCCACGCCACCGCTGCCGCAAACAGATGCCTTTCCTTTTGCATTGCACCTGCTGCTTTCCCGCGGCCTCCCTTCTTGCTCCTTCCCAACCTCTGAGGATCAAAACAAGGCGAAGAAGAGAAGCAGGGAAACGCAAAGGCTGTGTGTGTGTGAGAGAGAGAGAGAGTGAGTGAGTGAAGAACAACGACACATCTGTGCCGGTGAGACGCACGAGGGCGCTAGACACACACAGACAGACAAACATATATAAATACATAGGTGGAATAGGTGCATATCTGCCTCCCCCTTCACCGCTAGCTACAAATGAGCGCAGTCACGGCAGACGGATCAGCGTCGCAGAAAACAAGTGGCGCCGAGACGCAGTCCAAAACGAACACCATGAGTGTCGTGGAGTGCGACGGCGCGGAGAAGTCGATATTGTCGTTCCGGAAAGGCGATGGGACCTCCGCAGAAGCGCCTGAGGCCACCACGCAAGCCACGGCGCAAAAGTTGCCCATGACGGAGGAAGGTGTGGATGCGGATTCGAACGCGGATGCGGATGCGGAGGCAGGGAGGGAGGGGGAGGCAAGGGAGGATCTCGCTGCCGCGTCCCAAAAACGATATGCGAAGGATGAAAACGTGCTGTACGGCGTCCCGCGCAAGCGCACGAAAATCTCGTGGAAGTGCGGCATGTGCGGCTACCACGTCCTTGCCATGGACCAGGAGGGCAGGCCGCTGCCACTCTCCGTGTCCTCCTTCGGTGAGGTGCTGCCGATGACCTGCCCACGATGCCTGCTAGAGCACACCAGCTGGGAACAGGCGGTGCCGTTTGACGAGTACGGCGATCACGCAAACATTCGCTCCAAACTCTCGAATAATTACGCCCGCACGACAGGCAACGCAGGGGCGGAGATGCGGGACGTAACCCCCGTCCACACCACAAGAGCAACAGGCGTCGCGGGAAGCAGTCCCGAAATTCCCCCCATTTTGCAGGAGATCGGGCGTAAGCTGCAACAAGATGCTGCGGGGCATATGCCCATGCAACCGGATCCAAAACCGCGCGGACGTCGCATGGCGTATTATTGTAGAAAATGCAACAGACAGCTCCTGCGCATTGACCCCTACGGCGAGCTCGTCCCGCTTGCCCGTGATAAGGACGGCTCGGTGCTGCCTATTGTCTGCCCTGGATGTAAAGTAGAACACAATGAGTGGGATGTGAGGTCGTTCACCGTCACACTATAAGGACTCACCTTGCATCTGCGCCCCCCTCTCTTTCTATTTCCCCGCTACTGTCCGTATGTATGCCTGCTTGTGTGTACATGTGCTTTCTCGGTGTGCGTAGCCTGGCATAAGTGAACTTTGGTCAGTGTTGATTGGTGTTGTTGTTGTTGTTTTTGCTTCCGTCCTTCTTCCTGTTTTACTTATCCTTCTCGTTTGCCGCCACGCATTGTTGGCACTCGCCTCCCTTCCAGTGAAGGTAGCAGCCAGGGATTTAATGGATGGCGACGTGTTTTTGGCCTTCCTCCCCGGGGCGGCGCACGGCCTCACAACGGTGGCACTGGGGCACCCGCTCGACACCGCCAAGACCCGCATGCAAGCGTTAGGCCCGAGAGCCAGCAGCTCTTTCCTCGTCACCATGTGGAACATGGCACGTGCAGAGGGGGTGCAGAGTCTCTACCGCGGTGTCACCCCACCGCTGGTGATGTCAGCGACGAAGCGCAGTTTACAGTTCGCCGTGTGGGACGCGCTTCGGAAGTCGGACGTCCAACACGCCGCGCCGGCGGGAACTTCCTCCTCGTGCGGTGGGAGTATATTCCCTCACCTGGTTGCATGGGCGCGGGCGTCACCGTTTCTCTCAGGGGCGGTTGCAGGTGGCTTGGGGACCTTCATTGGTTGCCCGATGCACGTCATAAAGATTCAAACCCAGTTTCTCACCCACCACGTGACGAGGAATGCCTGGACCTGTGCGCTTGACATCTACCGCGACGAGGGCTTTTCTGGATACTACCGCGGGTTTCGCTACCATATGGTGAAGGACGTCTTATTTGCCGGCAGCTACTTGGGCTTCTACGACGGAATTAAGCGGTGGCTGCGTGACTTCAACGCGGCGTCCGCCCACACGAAGTGGGGTCCGCGCGTGGCCGCCATCGTAGGCGGCTCCGGGGAGCGTTCGAGGAGCCAACTGGCCTTCCTTGCCGGCAGCACCTCCTCCATGCTCACGTGGGCCCTGCTGTACCCGCTAGACACCATCAAGACCATTGTGCAGGCCCGCAAAGTTGGCCTCCTGCAGGTGGTGACTATCTTTAGGCAGCAGCGGGGCGCCATGTACCGTGGACTGGGGGCCTCGCTCGTGAGGGCGGGTCCTGTGAGCGGTGCGGCGATGGTGGTGTACGAACTGGCGAAGAGCAAGGCGGAGCAGCTGCTGCTGCACAAACAAACACGCGCAACGACGGGTGCGGGCGGAAGCGTCCGGTTGTAAAAAAAAAAAACACCTACCCCCCCACCAAAAAAAAAAGACATAAAAGCAAATTACCCAACATAAGATGAGAGTGTAGGCTTTGCTGGCTGGTGGCGTGTTTGAACGCCCTCCCACACATTGCACTTCCTTACTGCTTGCATTGGAGTCGACGCTGGGAAAGTGTGTTTGTTCTTAACTTTGCAATCGCCCCTGTTTTTTGCTTCCGACGCAAGTCACTGCGAGAGTGGCGGTTGCGTGCGCCGGCGTGACTGCCGGCCAGCCCACGGTTTGTTGTTGCGGTTGTAGTTTCTCGGTTTTCCCCCTCCAGCTGTCCCCATTCCTCTTCTGCTGCGCCTAAATTTTGGCTGCTGCTGCTTCCCACACGCAGCAATAGATACATGCATGGCGCCTGTGCGTGTGTGGAGGGGAGGAGAGGCGGGCCGGCGGTAAGGATCTAAGGGGGGGGGGAGGCGGATGAAGCAGTGGAGGCGCAGCGGGTGAGGGGGAACGAGTACTTCACACTGGGCGACTACGCGGCAGCCCTCGAGGCGTATGAGCAGGGAGTGAAGCTCGCCGCTGCGTCCGCCTCCGCCTCCGCCCTTGGCAGCCACTCCACGCCCGAAACGGCCGACGAGAGAGAGAAGCAGCGCCATAAGCATTGGGCGGTCGTTGTTAAGCTTCACGGGAACGCGTGCAGTTGTCTTTGGGCGCAGCGCAGGTAAGAGGCGTGTTGCCAGCGCGCGCACGAGGCTCTGCGAACGCATCCGCTTGTGGCGAATGCGTATGGATTCATTGACATGTGCCTGTCGCAGGCCCCAGCATCAGAGGTGCCGCGTCTGCTTCTCTGCCACGGCGAACACGCTACCGTGACCAGTCGGTACTGGGAGGCGTACCGTCACATGGCACGGGCGCTTCGCATTGACGCCTCGCTGAGTGCGTCGCTGCAACCGCACCTTTCAGCCGCCGTCGCCGCGATGGATGCGATGCGTCGCCCAACAACGACGACGATCACGGCGGTGGAGGTGCGACCGGCGCTTCCCGTCGAGGCGGCGGCGCAGGTCGGCGTGTTCGCGGCGGACGACATGGCGCCCTCCGCCGTGGTCGTGCACGAGCGCGCCTTCGCGGTTGGGTACCACGGCATTGGCGGGGACGGGCCGCCGCCGCTCTGCGTGGCGTATGCCGCGAGTTACCGCGAGCGACACGCACGCTACGAGTGCGACCCTTTGCGGCTGCTCGCCGGCCTCGCCTCGGCCTTCCACGCGGGTATTGCGCTGGTGATGCACGTCGTCACGAAATGGAGCGGCTACAAGACGCAGGTGGCGGGGCACGAGGCCCCGGCGAGGTTGGCGCGGAACGCAAACGTCCCTGCCGACGCATACGACGGGCTTCGCGTCGACTTGGAGGGGCGGTGTGCGCCGTGCCACTACCTCTCGCAACTCTTCAAGAAGGGGCCGAAGCACCCGCATTGCCACGCTTCCGTGGCCCAGTACGCCTGCACCTCTCGCACGGCGGAAGCACGGAACGCGCCGCCGCTGCCATGGCTCACCATGTCGCACGTGGAGCTGCAGCGGCATGGCGCACACTACCGGCGACCGTCCTGACTCCGGTCAGATGGACCAAGTGAAAAGTACATGACATGCTAAACGAAAAAAAAACTCAACAACACCAATAAATGACGGAGAAGATGGCGTGCTGTTTGACGTTCTCTCTCCCTCTCTCTCTCTCTCTCTCTCTACTACCTCGTTGTT